CTCTGCTCCCGGGGAGCGACCCCCCAGCAGGCAGCAGCCGGCTTTGGGGAGCCCTGGCCCTGCGCTCCTGCTCCCCACTGGGAAGGAAGGATGGAAAACCATTGCTCTGGAAAAGGGGGGGCCCTTGCACCTGACCCGCCCGCTGCTAAAGGCAGAACGGGCCTGGCCCTAGAACAAGTGGGGAATAGGGTTGCCAGGTGTTCAGTTTTCAACGGGACAGTCCAGTATTTGAGCTATTTGTTCGGGAAACACATTGAGACAATAGAAATGTCCGGTGTTTTCTAAATAAGCTGTAATGTAGATCTAATGCAGTGTCAGGTGTGTCTGGTATTGTTGTTGAAACCATCTGGCAACCCTAGTGGGGAACCTTTTTTAGGACAGGGGCTAATGACCCACAGAAAAATCAGTAGGAGATGCAGTCAAGTGAGAAACCCTCTCCCAAAAAAACCAAACCCTCACTGATATGCCCCCCCACTGAGAAGGAGAAAGACCCTCCTCTCATTCCCACACACCAGGGCCTGGGGGGGGGAGGTTAGTTGATTTTGTGTGCTCCAGCCCCACAGAGGGACAGAGGGAGGGGCTGAAGCAGCAGTGCAGGCTCCCTAGTGCTAGGGTGTAGCCCTGAACCTTGGGGGCCACGTGCCATTCCCAGGCTTTCCATTCTATATGCTAGAAGCCAGTGCGTTCTGAGTTAAAGAGCTGGCCTCCTGCAGCTTGGGCCACTGTCAGAGCTGGGGCTGCCCTGGCTCTAGGTTCACTGCCATGTCAAAGCAGGCAGTGGCGGAGGAGAACAGTACTTGGATAGCAGCCATCTGAACTGCGGTTCCAAAGAGGATGGAGAGAGGTGTTCTCAGTTGTGACAGATGACAGGAGGAGGAGCAGCGAGAAAGATCTATGTTAGATATTAGAAAAAAATTTTCACTAGGGGGGTGGTGAAGCACTGGAATTGATTATCCAGGGGGGTGGTTGAATCTCCATCCTTAGAGGTTTTTACGTCCCAGCTTGGCAAAGCCCTGGCTGGGATGATTTAATTGGAATTGGTCCTGCTTTTAGCAGGGGGGTGGACTCAATGACCTCCCGAAGTCTCTTCAACCCTATGATTCTATGTTTGCCACAGGGTTACATGAGAAATTCCAGTCTTGGGAGAATGCACTGTGGGCTGGAGAGGCAGTCATATGTCACTTAAGCTAAGGGAAGCAGTTTGAGTGGGGGTGGGGAGTTAACCAATGTTCCCTCTAATTTTTTCCATCCATGTGCACAATACATTTTGTTGTCCTCAGGTAGGCATGTGTAGACGTGCACCACCAGTAGAAAGACATGCTGCAGAGTGTAGGCACTCTGCTAATTAACTGGGCAGCATTTGAATCTCTTCTGGGCAGCAGCCCAAGCACTCAGCTTACACTGAAACACTGAAACTCTTATTTAACTCCAGGGTGAAGGGATCCTGCAGGAGAAAGGAAGGCTTCAGCTGTCCCAATGATTTACTTCAACTTTCCAGTTAAGATGAGACTGACGCTCTTGTCTGGAAAGACTAGTGTTAACACACCTGATACATAAGGTATATGGGTGGGTAGCTTCGTTATGATAAAGATAGTTAGTGTATGCGGACTGGTGTGGGGGCAGAGGGGGACAAGAGTGCAGGAAG